CATGCTGTGCTCACACGGGAATGTGTGGGAGGGAATTACCTGTCTGGGCAGTCCCGGGGGGCATTCCAGTGTAACCAGTGAGGGATTCCAGGGTAACCAGCGAGGAATTCCAGGGAAGGATCCAGGGTAACCACTGAGGGATCTAGTGTAACCAAGAAGGGATTCAGCTGACCCTGTGTGCAAACACTTTTGCACAGAGCTAGGTGCTATTTACACGGAGCTCCTAACTTAATCCTGACTGGACAGCTTTCCTGTGACTGTGTGTCAGTGCCTGTGGCTGTGCCCAGTGCTCTGTGTGTGTGCTGGGCCGTGGAGCAAAGCCCTGTCACACGCAGGGCTTGCTGCTGGGGTTGGGGTGCGTAGTGTCACTGCAGAGGAGGCGTGGAAAGTGTGAGTTGTACATTAAGTGAGGGCTGTGGTGGTGCTGGGTGTGTAGTGTCACTGCAGAGCAGGCGTGGAAAGTGTGAGTTGTACAGTAAGTGAGGGCTGTGGTGGTGCTGGGTCAATGACAGCCGTGTCTGTGCAGTGTCTCCTGAGGATACAGGCGGGTGTTTGAGGAGTACATGCGGGTCATCAGCCAGCGGTACCCAGACATCCGCATCGAGGGGGAGAACTACCTTCCTCAGCCCATCTATAGGTAAGTGTGGGTGAGCACCTGCGTTTCACTGGTACGATACTGGACATGCAAGCTCCAAGGAGTTTCCATGGGGGTTTCTCCCAGGTGGCTGCCTTGGTTCTCCATACAAGTACCACCAGCTGGATATCGGTGCGATGAGGCCTGTGGTATCCAGGCTGCAGTAAATTACATAATTCACTGTTTTCACAGTGAGTTTTCCCAGCTTCTCATGATGTATCTGCACATAAATTCAGTTTGCTGCTCAGGCAGCAGTGACAAATCCCTGCAGTGGGTTTGTCACTCCAGGACATGGAGCAGAGAATGGTTCATTTTGAACATCTGAGTCAGGGAGAGCTCTCCTCGGAGGAGGTGCTGCCAGGGTGGCCTGAGCTGCAGTTGGGGGAGGGAAGCCCAGAGAAATCTGGAAAGAGACAAAAGGAAACAGTGCTATTGCTGTTATTTAAAGCGCTGTGCCCACGCCGGGGAGCGGTGCCATGGTTACTAGGGCGGCTCCGGAGCAGCTCAGGCCGATCTGTGTCAGGGTGGCACCGTGGGAGGCTGCAGGGCGCAGTGCCGGGCGTGGGCTGGCCCCGGCTGTGGGCGTGGAGTTCTGCCTCCCCGGGAAGTGCTTCCCAGGGGGTGGTGCCTCTCAGTTAAATGGGTCTCTTAGTGTGGAGCAGCTAGGTTAGAAACCGTATCTGTTACCCAGCTCAGACATGCATAAATGGAAAGCAGATTTCCATTCGAGGCCTGCCGAGGAATAGAACGATCTGTGTGAGGTGTACAGGGTGTGTGAGAGCAGTGCCTTGCTGGGGGTGTTGTTCATGTGTGTTTCTGTTTTGTTTTGTTTGGGACTCACGTTACAGTGAGAGAAACTTGGAAAGTTCGGTACTTGCCCTGAAACATTTGATTGCAAACTGTCCAGGTTCTTCTAGTGAGGTGAATTAGAGCTGTATATGGGGAAGTAGGAGCTGAATCTTTCAGTCACTGGTGTGTGTTCTCTCTGGCAGGCACATAGCATCCTTCCTGTCTGTCTTCAAACTAGTATTAATTGGCTTAATTATTGTTGGCAAGGACCCCTTTGCTTTCTTCGGCATGCAAGCTCCGAGCATCTGGCAGTGGGGCCAAGAAAATAAGGTAAGAGACACCTCCTTCTCTGGGTTTGGGAAGGCTTCACAGTGACTTCTTGGAGTGCTCTGGGAGTCCCTCACTGCCCTGTGCCCCCCTCAGCCCTGTGCTCCCACAGCTGCCTATGACGGGGCCAGGGGTGTGTGTAGGTGGAGCACAAGGTGTGCCTGCTGTACCTTGGTGGGACCCAGGGCTGTTGGGTTTGTTCAGAGCTGGTTTAGTGCATGTCTGGGGAAGGCAAGTGCACAGTCTCTGTGAAAAGGAGGAAAAGGTGTGTGGATAGAAGCACTCCTGGAGGGGGTTCAGAGATGTCTGTGAGTTTCCAGTGCTTACTGAGAGGGAACAGTGTGTGGTGTGGCTGACCCAGCTGAGGTGTGTGGGTCTCTGTTCCCTTCCAGGTGTATGCCTGCATGATGGTCTTCTTCCTGAGCAACATGATTGAGAACCAGTGCATGTCCACCGGGGCTTTTGAAATCACTCTGAATGGTGAGCTGAGACTGTTTCACATCTCCTGTGCGCATGTGGGAGCTGTGGGCTGGGGAGAAGAAGGGCTGGTGTCAGAGAGTGTGTGTCCCAAATGTGGAATGTGGAAATTGGCATCCTTTTGGATGTTGAGATGTCATCTGTTGCAGTAAATCATGAAAGTCCTAGAAGTCTTACAAAGCAGTTTACAGAGACATCAGATATTCTGGAATAGCTCTATCAAAGCTTACTGAGAGGGACACTTGGTCCCTTGGAGTAGCTGTTATGTTCTTTTCTTCGTGTGTGGTGTCCATTAAGTAAGTGATCAGCTAGGGACACGTTCTCTCCAATTAGATGCTCTCCTTGTCCTGTTCTGCAATATGCATTAGCCCTGAAGTCCTAAGGAATCCATTGCTGTTCCCAGATTTTCAGTAGTAGTGGACAGCAGTGCTGGTTTTTCAGGTTGAGAGGAATGTCAGTGGATGTTTTACACCTCTCCATCCATGTGACACAATTCTAGATGGATGCACTGGACACGACTCTCCTAGTTGTGCTGTGGTTTAACATGGCCAGAGGTTGGAAGCAGTGTTGATCCAGATGTTTTCCTCAGTATAGATCAGTACCAACTCTTCCAGCTTCCCAGAGCTTTGCAGCTCCATGTTTACCCTATCCCTGTGTGTTTCCTGATGCTCCTGGTGTGACGGTGCTTTTCTCCCTCCCTGCTCTGTGCTAGATGTCCCAGTGTGGTCCAAGCTGGAGTCTGGCCACCTCCCTTCCATGCAGCAGCTTGTACAGATCCTTGATAATGAGATGAAGCTCAATGTGCACATGGAGTCAATGCCCCATCATCGATCATAGCCCCATCGTTCAGCACTGAAACTCCTCGTAAGTCTGCGTGTCAGCAGCGCGTTGCTTCGGGCATGTTGGGTGTGCTGAAGACCGAACCTCAGGGTGGTGTGTCTGTGCAGCTGAATGTTGCCCTGCAGAACCAACTCCTGCAATGTTAGATTGCTGTGTGAGGTGTCACAGAGGCTGTTTGGGTGGAGGGTTTGGGTTGTGGCTCCTCATGCATGTCTCTGAGCAGGAAGATGGTGTTCTTTGGGGCAGGAGAAGGTGTGCTACTGATGTCAGTGAGCTGTGTGTGCAGAGACCAGAAACAGGCTGTGTTATGTGCCTTAGAACAGCCTCTTGCAGGGGATTTGTGTCTCCGTGGCTTGTTACGGAGTTGAACTGGAGGGCAGGACACTGTCCTGCTCCCATTGCTGTGCTGCACTGCCCTGCCTCTGCTAGTGCTCCAGGGCTGTTGGCAGCAGAGGGGGCACATCCAGTAGGTATTTTATGACAAGCCAGTTCCATGTTCCCATGCTGCCTGTGGCTTTCAAAGCACATAGCTTTTGATTCTTCATCGTGAGGCTGGCTCAGTGCAGGTGAACTGGCTCAGTACAGGTGTGGGACTGGCTCAGTGCAGGTGTGCTGTGCTGTCTTAGTGCAGGTGTGGAGCTGTCCCTATACAGGTGGGGAGCTGTCTTGGGGCTGTCCCCATAGAGGTATGAGGCTGTTCCCATACAGGTGTGCTGTCTCAGTACAAGTGTGAAGCTGTCCCCATAAAGGTGTATTGTGTCCATACAGGTGTGCTGTGTCAGTGCAGGTGTGGGGCTGTTCCCATACAGATGTGCTGTCTGTGCAGGTGCAGGGCTGTCCCCATGCAGGTGTGCTCTGTCAGTGCAGGTGTGAGGCTGTCCCCATAGAGGTATGGGGTTGTCCCCATACAGGTGTGCTGTCTCAGTATAGCTGTGGAGCTGTCCCCACACAGGTGTGCTGTGTCAGTGCAGGTGTGGGGCTGTGGCCACACAGGTGTGCTGTGTCAGTGCAGGTGTGGGGCTGTCCCCACGCAGTGTGGGCCCATCCTGTCCCCGTGCTGACCGAGCCCTGTCTCCGCAGGCGTTGGGCGGTGTCCCGGGCCGCGTGGCGCAGACCCATGAAGGCCTGTGCTGAAGACAGCCGCTGTCGGCGCAGGCTGGACGCCTCCCTGCACCACGCCGTGCCTCCAGGACGAGCGCCTAACGAGCCCAGTTTCAGTGCTGGCCTGTCCCACACTGCACAGTCGCGAGTGCAATAATACTGTATAGTTTTTTTAAGAGTCCCTCGACTGGTGGATAGCTCAGCAATGCAGGCATTACTAATGGTAACTTATTTTATATTCATGTTCACAAGGTGGCTGATTGAGTTCATACCTGATTTTTTCCTTGGAAAAGAAAAGTTTGTTTAATCTGTTGTATTTTATATGAATTTATGTTCTTTTTGTAGTTTAAAATGAAGTTATAGGAGTGTCTGATATTGTCCTAAACTGTTGAGTAATTGACAGCTGTCTATCAAATCTCTCTGATGTGGTTAAAACAGGTTTGTATATTTCTCAGAATCTATGGCAGAGTCACACAGTGCATTATATATTGGATTATGTGAACAGAGTGGTTCCATCATTTGGTGACTTCGGTGAAAATTCTGCTCTTTGACTGTGTGGGCCAGCTCCAACAGTTCTGTTCGAGAGAGGGGCTGTGCCTTCCTGCTGTCCCAACAGAACCCAAGAACATTAACTGAAATAAAGTTCCCATTTCCTGTGTGAAGTAATTGCTTGTCACAGATGGACATTCTTGGAATTGCAATTGAAGACTACATAAAAAGCCAACTTTACAAAGTCACTGATGTGTCTGTCATGTGTGAGCCCTGGGAACCTCCGTGTGCTGGGAAGGGTTTGGCCTTGTCCTTGGGGCACCTGTGCAGCTCAGGTGTGCCGCTCGGGGGCAGCTGGCCAGGTGAGCTCCAGGGCAGCTCAGCAGGGGTTGTGAGGTTGCTCACTTGGTGGCCTGAGCTGCCAGCTATGGCCCAGGAGCCTCTAAACACTGACAGCTCCGTGTTTGTGATGCTTTGACCAGAGCTCGTCCCAGGCTGTAGCTGGAGTTGAGCAGAGCTGATTGCTTTGGGCACACTATGGGCATTTGTCCCTCTGCATGGGGACCTACCATGTCTGACACCTCCAGCTGGCTGAGCTGCTGTCAGTGTTAGGACACCTGGGCATCCTGCTGGTGCCACCTTGGCAGGAGCAGTGCACTGGCATGAGCATGGGGTTACTCTGCCCAAACAGAGCCCCTTTGTGCCTCTGTGGCCAAGGTGTGTGTTCAGTGTGGGCTGGTACTGCCTGCCCTGAGCCAGAAATCCTGGGGACTGTGGTGATGAGCCCCAGGCTGCCTTTTGCTCTGCTCCAGGGTAGGGCTGCAGGTGGAACCTTGCTGAGTGTGTGCAGTGTCAGGGAGTGTCTGTGTCTGATTTTGCCTCACACCACACATGCTGCTCAGAGCTGAGTGTTTACTATGGCCCTGATGGAGCTGCGCAGCTCATCGCTTATGTCAGCGGCACTGCAGAGCTGCAGGATCTTGGCAGTCTGGGACATGAGGTACACGGGAAGCTTCATCTTGTCGCTGTGCTTGCGGGAAGGGAAGCCAACACAGCCCCGCAGCCTGTCCAGGAGCTGCAGGATCTTCACCCGGCGGGCAAGCAGCAGCAGCAGCTCATCCTCACCCAGCTGGGCCGGGGGCGGCAGCTGGCTGGTGTCACTGACCTGCAGGGCAGAGAGAACCTGTCAGCGGAGCCACCGCACCACAGAGCTGCGTTTTCCCAGCACACAAACCTGCCCCTGTGGCAGGAGCCTTGGGGACACAGTGAGGGACACCAGGGACCTGCTTGGGAGTGCTTCCCACTCTGTGGCCCCTTGCAGAGTGCTGGGTCTGGTGAGTGCCTCAGCTGCATGGGACTGGCACAGGTACACCTCCGCTCCCTGTGTTTTGGGGGTAGGAGCATGGGGCAACTTGGGGAGCCCTTACTGTAGGATAAGCATGCTTTCCCATGATGGGAGCTTCCCTGGCCACCCGAATCCCGCTGTGGGGAGTGGCTCTGCATGGTCAAATACCTGCTCTTCGATGCCCACATTGAATTTGGCTTGTCGACCCATGGCGAGGAAGGAGACAATGATCTTGTCCTGGCCCAGGATCCTGACCCCCATGTATCGGTTCAGGGAGATGAAGGTGGGGCTCAGTTTAACCTGGGGTCCTGGTGACATGTTTGGCCATGTCCACCTTCTCACCCTCCTGCCTGCTTGGTCCAAATACTGTCCTCCATGGATATTCATGTTTATCCTAAAAGGGAGGAAAATGGAAGCTCTGAACCCTGTAGCTCTCGTGGTGGAATGTCCCATCATTCTCCTGAGGGATGGGGGCACAGCAGGGTTGGGGTCTCTCCCCCACCTCTCAAGACACAGATGGGGTCACCTTGCTGCTCTGGGGGGCACCCAGAAGAGGGCCTGTGAGCTGCTGGATTTGTTAATCTTGGAATGGTATTAAAAATACCCTTTATGTCCTCTGAAATGTGAGTGCACAGTGGAGAGCAAAGCTGCCGAAACGCACCACTCGTCTCCGTTCGGGTAGTAGCACGTGGCTGTGCCGTCGGACCGGAACAGCGCTCGGAGTCTGGCGTTCCTTGGCTCATCTTCCTGCACGATGCAAATCAGCTCATTCGTCTCTCGCAGAATGATCATGGCCAGGTTTCCAGACGGATAGCTGCTATCAGGTAAGGTGTTTGTAACCCCCTACTGTGCTTGGCTGGTCTGTTGTTACACACTAAATACTCCAGAGCACTACCTGGGAGTATAAAAACTGATGTGTTCTCCAGAGGAATGTGTTAAAGGTGTGCTGCCAGTGTCACCAGTGAGAGCTCAGGTACACTTTCATACATCCCTGGCTCAGAAAGAAGTCAGCCACAGCAAGGGAAAATAACATGGGTGACATAGATGTGGCTTTAATAAAGCCAAGGCAGCCTGGAAGCTGTGGGTTGCTTGGTGGAAGTGCTAGGGTTTTTTGCTTCAGTCAGTGCTGTGACACACTGGTTATCCCAGGCTGTCTATGCTCCTCTTAGGCACTGCCCTGTGCTGGTGGGAATCTGCTGGTTTGTTCCCAGGGACAGGGTGGGTCTGAGTACTCTGGGAGTCCCTTGGGCCAGCAGGGCCCTTCCCCAGGTGGCCAGAGCTCAGGAGCAGGTCTGACCACTGGGCCGGTGCATCCCTTAGGCTGTATTGGACATGAATGCCCACCCCTCATTGGAGCTGCTGCTGCTTTGGGAAACCTCAGCCCAGGAGCTGTGTCAGGTTCACTATGCTCCTCAGCGTGAGTGGGAGTGGTGGGCTAGGTTGTTCATGATCAAGTGGATCAGAACACACTTAAAATCAGTTACAGCCCTGGACTAATGCTGGGAAGTGAACTCCATAAAGGATACAATAACTGCGAGGTTCCGTCTGGGAGCATGGTGAGGAATTTCCTTCCATTTTTGTAGTATTTTTGCACCAATTTATTCTTCTCCACCTAGGATTGGAAGGATAGAACGCATGAGAACAGTCTGGCACAGCTGTCCTGTGAGGCAGCGCCAGGCTCTGAGCACAGACACATCCAAGGTGCACCCATCGCTGTCGCCCGCAGGGACCTGCCTTGTCCCCCAAGGGTATGAAATGGCAGGACATAGGTTTCTCCTTGGGCTTGGCTGTGAACCCTGCAGGGCTGACATCGGGGCTGGTGACAAGGCAAGACAGAGGCTCCTCCTCG